CTGTGCTGGGAGTGCGGGGACACCAGTGTGATGGGGACTCCCGAGCAGCATCGGGAGCCTGGTCAGGGCCCAGGGCATCACGCAGGAGGGCAGGACAGACAGACAGCCTGGCTGAGGCCACGCTGTGGGGGGTGGGTGACTCAGCCCTTCACACCATCATTTGTCCCTCGTTGATCCAGACCCCCCGTGCCAGTGGCCATGTTCCCCCAGTCGGCCCTGAACACCCCAAAATCCCCTCAGAAGTGCAGTGATCTGCCCCACAGCAAGAGCACAGGGCTCAGCACTCAGCGTGGGGCCAGGCTCAGTGGTCCTGCCCCAGAGAGGGGCTGGGGGGGCGTGAGAGGTCCCTGCCTGGAGCTCGCCGAGGCTGATCCCAGCCCCCCAACACCCTCTCCCTGCTGCTGGGGGTCGAGGTGGAGCTGAGCACCAGCCTGGGGTGCTGCTGAGTGACCCCAAGCAGGTGCTGGGTCCAGAGCGGCGCGTGACGTCAGCACCTGGGTCCTCACCCTGGCACATTCCCAAAGCAGCAGGCACCCAACCAAAATAGCCTCCGGAGATCTTAGCCTGGGCCAGGGGCGTATTTATAGCCCGAGGCGGCTCCCTGTTAACCCATGCAGTGCCAAGCACAGGCACGCGGGAGCAGAGACCCTCTCCCAGCTCGGCACTGTGGGTTTAGGCTGTCCCTTGTCCCTGTCAAGGATGGGGCACATGGGGATCCCGGCATGGGAACAGAGCCTGTGGCCCAGGTTCCATCTTTATGAGGCACCCAAGAGCGGGGCAGGGACTCCCAACCGGGGCATGGCCAGGCACAGACCCGTGTTGTTTGGGGTGCTGAGGGCACAGAGCACCAAGGGGCTGTCACCACCAAGGAAGGAGCTGCACAATGCTGGGCTGTGCCCCAGGCATCGGCCAGGCCGGACTGACGGACAGGGCACAGCCCAGGGAGGTGGGGAAGGGGGTCACCTTCCTGCCTTAATCCAGTGCAGAATGCTGCAGCCCTCAGCCTGCAGCGGTCCAGGGCAGGGGAGCTGAACCCAGTGACCCCAGCCCAGCTCAAACCAGGCTGTTTTGTGCAGAAACAGCTGCCACAGCCCCAGTGCCACTGTCCTCAGGGCCTTCCCAGCCAGGCCAGAGGGTTGCAGCGCTGCCAGGCACCGGGTGTCTCAGCAGCAGCAGTGCTCAGCCAGGCCCCTGCGCCTCTGAAACACTCCCTCCGCTGAAACAGAGGTGCTGAGGGGTACCAGTGCTCACCCCGGTGTGAGAAGCCGGGCATCCACGCTTGGCCACTGCAGTATCCTGCCCTAGGTGCAGCTCCCAGGACTGCCTCGTCCCATGGTTCCTGTTTGCTCCCTGCCAGCCTTGCAGGTGGACAGAAGGCTCCTAGCTCCGCATCCTGGCCTGCCTCCGCCAAGCCCCCACATCTCTGGAGTCCCTCCAGGACGCCTAGACGCAGCGTAATGCCACGGCTTCCCGGACGGTGCACGCTGCCTGGCGGAGCCTGCCTTTAAAAGGGAAGGTATTTCCAGATGGGGTTGTTTCATCCC